GTTTACATATCATTCAGATTCATTTAATAATGTTTGTGTCTGATAGAAAAACAAGAAACCACATTCTGATGTGTCCCTACAACAGGTGAAGTTGGCTTTATCAGAGCCAGCGCATTTTGCTCCAAGGTTTCTCAAATGAAATCCTTCAACATGTTTGCAGTATTTAAATAGGAAAATAATAGTTGAAGAATTTCACACAATAGAGGGTAGCACAGGTTTTTCTAACATATTCTTACCTCATTCTTAGTATACTATATAGCTCTCAGGACCAAAGTCTGATACACATTTTCCTTTTTGTATTAGCACAGCAGTATTAATTTGAGTCCTAATGTAGTGCTGTAGGATAAGCACCACACAGCAAGTTCTGTTTGAACTGAAAGGCTGGTGGTTCAAAAGCACCAGTTGCTCCTTGGAAATCCTCTACAGGCTCACTATGAGTCAGAACCGATTCAACGGCACTCAACAACAACATTGCAGTATCATTTGTATTAATTTATAAATTTGTCTTGGTTTATTATTATATACTGACCCCTAACATTGGGAGTTTATACACACTATTATTCTTGCTCATGCTTAAAATAATTTGAATATTAATTAGAAGTCTATAAGTTTTTCCCTTTAAGTGTCTATATTTTATTCATATCTGATGAACAGTATTCTGGAGAATACTCATGTCTGGGATAAAAACAGATTCACTCAGGCCAGAGATGGTCCAGGAAGAAAAAGATTAGCCAAAGCAGACAGTGGTCATCTAGGGTAACTACATTTGGATGGCAGCATTCTTGGCAGAGATGAAGTGCCACATTCTTCTTTCTCACCAGGGTTCCTGCCAGGAAGTAGAAGGCCTGAAGGATCCTCTTCATAGGTTGTTGTCTATTTTTGGAAAGTCAGCTTGCCAGAGTATCAGCATATTTGTCAGCACATGAGATATCATGTCTACCACGCAGGTGTATTCAGATTAATAAAGAAGTTCGCATGATTCTTGATCAGAGAATACATTATAACATTATAAGTGGCAGGATACTTCCCTGGGATTATGGAAGTGGGAAGTGGATGAATTGAAGTTCTTCAGAATTGTTAACAGTGCTAGTGATTAAACTCATATGCAGCCATGAATACATCTCCTTTAGTGGATAGTAAATGATTTTAGATGTGAATATATCTCTTTTAGTTGATAGTAGAATATTTTATTTCCAGAATATTTTTATGGTTGTGGAATTCCTCTATATGTAATCATGCATTCAAAAAATGCCTAGTAGGAGAAAGATTTTCTTGAAAATTTATAAATCAACTCTATCAGTGAGGGTGTTAGGCTGTTTATCAAGGCAGGTGTGAGCAAAATACCTCTTACAGAAAGCCAATGACAACCCCAAAGAAAAAAATTAACATAGTCCAATTATCTTCAGGATGCTATCCAATCATTTGCCTTTGATATGGTATTTGGCAGGAAAGAATCTGGGATGTGTTGGCTATGTAGATGTTCCTTTTTTCAGTCACAGAGCAAGTACTAGGAAACCTACTTAGATTCAAAGTAGGTTTTTGAAGTCTACCAAGAGAGAGCCCCCAACAAATATCATGAAGGTGATGCATTCCCAAGACAGCTGTTAGGAGTAGACAGAGCAAAGGGCACTGTGAGAAGCAGGAAAATACCTAACTTTTTTGCATGAATGCTTGAGGTCAACTCAAAATGTCCAGAACCCGTATAAACACCTGAGAACATTTGTTAACTAGACATTTAGCTGAAAGATGCATTGAAATAAATATATCCACTGTATGCAAAAAAAAAGATGCATCGAAATAAATATATCCATTGTATGCACATAACTATTCCAACTTTATTAATGATATGGCTATTAAATGCATCACATATACCATATAAATACCAAAACACAAATATTAATATATGTATAAACTGCTACCACATCCTAAAATGAACACTGATGAATGAATGCAGAAGGCGCTCAGAAAGACTTGGTAAGTATGATCAGCATTCCTCCAACCATCATTTGTTCTTTCTTTTGTAACTGTGGATCATAAAATTCATAAATAAAAATTGTGAGTCATCTGTTGTGTGCTTAGCACTGAGTTAATTTGGGGGGAAGAGATAGTCTATAAAATATATAGTATAAGGTCTCTTCCTTCAAAGAATTTGTAATCCAGTCAGTGAGGCAGAGCTATGATAACATGAAATAAAGCTAAATTAATCATAATAGGTAACCAAGGGGAAAGAGAGAAGGGAAAAGGCTTCTTTATGGTGATGACAAGTCAGCTAAGACAAGAGGAGAATGAATATATTTTTGATTGGAGAAACAACATAAAATATCATGAGGAATGATGGTGATACATTATATTTAATTATAATGAATTAGTAGAGAAACATGTTTTAGTGTTTTAGAATTCTGGATTAGTAGAGAAACATGTTTTAGGACAAGTGTGACTCTCTGGAATAGGTAAAGAATAACAGAAAATGGAGACAAATTTAAGCTAAGTAAAATGACTAGATTGATTCAGAAAGAATACATCCATTAAGTTTTAGGATTATTTTTATTTTTTCTTAAACATTTTACGATGGCAAGGAGAAATGTAAACCTGCTCAGTTAAAGATTGCCTGGTCATAACAGAATGATATATAATCATAACAAAAAGCTCATAATTTAGTATATATGACTTTCTGTGTACGTGTGTGTGTGTGTTTGAATTAAATTTGATATCCAATCTTTCATATGCATAAACCAGATGCAATATATACATATACACACATATACATGTATATATATATATACACACACATACACAGATATACATAAATTTATATATAATACATTAACTCATATGTAATATATTTTCTTGTACAGTTATGCATTTGTATCTGTGTTACATCTGTCTCTGTACCCTTCTCTCCCTCTATTCTTCACTCCCTCTCCTTTCTATATAACCTGATTTGCCCCAATCAGTACTAGTTCATGTTAATTTTTTTGGCATATCATGTTCCAACGCATAAATGATTTAAAAAAAAAAAAAATTGTCACTTTCTGCATACTAAAGTCACCCTTAATACCAACTGCTTCATGCTGTCAAGTTGGTTCAGACTCATAGCAACCCTGAATAGGATTGCTGCTGAGTGACTGGTGGGTTTGTACTACCGACCTTGGGGTTGACAGTCCAGTGATTATCTTACAGCCCCACACAGGGTTTCTTTCATGTTTTAAATGATCAAGATTACAAAATAATAATAATAAAAAGAGAATATATTATGTTCTTAGGGGAACAGGGAAAAGTAAAGTTGGTTGTTACTGTTGTTAAGTGCTATTGAGGCAATTCTGACTCAATGATCCTGTGTGGGGTTTCTGAGGAGCAGCTGGTGGGCTTGAACTGCTGACCTTGTGGTTCACAGTCCCATGCTGATCCTATATCGCCACACCATGAGTTCAGACAAATAAAAATTGTGAGGTAAATATGTTGTTAAGTGTTACTGAGTCAATTCCAACTCATAGCAACCCTGTATAGGGTTTCCAAGGAGTGACTGGTGAGCTTGAACTGCTGACCTTGCGGTTCAAACTTGCTAGGCAGTCCATGGCATTAACCTGCAGCACTGCACAAATATATACCTTATAAAATAAGATCATTTCTAGATAAACAAAGGAGACATTTGTTTTTCATTTTAAATGCAGCTATTATAAAAGTATTTTACCTTAAATATCTATTATTTTTACATGGAATGTACTAGTAACTTCTAAATTAAATTCGTGTCAATTTTTATTGCTTCCTTAGTTAATAATATACTTGTATAATCATTTATTTAGTACAGTTTTCAATGTGTATCTCAATATCTAGCAAGAACACATATCATAAATTATTTAAAAACTTATTAATAAGTATTTTCCCTCACTTATTTTCTTGGCTTCTCTGTTTCTAATTCTAACTTGTTTCTATGCCTGCCTAAAATAATGACTTTTGTATTTCATAAAACTAAAGGCAAGACCTTCCCATAACCTATTCTACTCATTTTATTGATAGATGACTGAAGATTTCCATTTGAATTGGTACAGATCATTGAAACAAAGTCTATTGGAATTTTTGAAGATTGATTTACATTCATTTCTTTTACTTGAAGATATATGTATTAGATTGCATGTATCTTTAAACATTTTAATAAGTTTTCTTCCAAAACCTTCCTGTATTTCATAGCAGTAAGAATCAAAATCCTTTTGAACATGAGATTTCACTGGACAAAACAATGTCATCGAAAATAGCACTGAAAGTTGAAGGAACCAAAAAACAATAAAACAAGCCTACTTAATTTTACAGATGAAAAATCAGAACCACAAAGCTACTTATCTTTGTCATTATTACAAAAAAAAAAAAAAAAGACACTGCTTAAACATTAGATTCCAGTTCCTCTGGCATTGAACTCACTGTGGTAACCATACAATCTAAGGCCTTTAACGTGTTTTGAATGTACCACATTATTCAACTCTCACTAAAGGTTTACATCCCCCTTTATCACATCTCAAGTGTTCTTTGAACACTGCTCAGATGCAAGCAGTTTAGGGAACTCATTAATCCTTCATATCCATCTGTTTCCTGAAGATCTCAAATTAAACAAATATTTTACAAAGAGAAACGTATACTTCAGATTTCACTCATTAACCCTGATGCTTTGACATCAGAGACCTGCCTGACGAATGTTCAATTTAATAGCTTCCCTATGATACCCGCTGCCATTATATTGATTTGCCAATTCCTCAATTTTTTATAAAATAAACTAACGTAAAGTTAAATAACATATAAAGGAATTCCATGTGATATGTAACCAAAAGGCTCCTTTGAAATACATGAGGGGAATTAGAACTTTTATGAGATTAAGCATCTGGAACATATTTAATCTCAGTATTTCAATGCACTCACTATTAACTGTCAGATATACATTTAAAAAATATTTACCTCTAATGAAGATTTCTATCTATTGGCACTACAACTATAAAAAGCAAGATTCTTACCAAAAACCTCGGGAACTTTTGTAGGTTGAGTAGTCAAAGAATTATTGTTCACAGCCCCAAGCTGGATTCTGAAATCCTCCACCTGAAGCTCTGTCACTGAAAAAAATTAGTGCAGTCAATTCAAACAAGAGAAAACTGTCACAATCTATTATTTGTATAAATGAAGCAATTTATACTTATTGCTATGTTAAAT